ATGAGAAAAAATTTTTAGGACCCCTGCCCTCCAAGTTCCTCCACCCCCCAGGAAGGTCGGTCATAGCTCGAAATTCGGAATCAGCATGCCAAAATATCCTAGAAATGATATTTGTCTCGAGCCCATTCACCCCAAGTCTCCCAACAATTCAGAGCCCCCATGGCACCCTTTTTGGGTGCGGAATTTCGCACTAAAATGTATGGCCAACTATAGCTCATTTTATCCGCACATTTCATTTAGGCCATTGCCCAACCCCTCCCATCACCCCCAAGAGGGATCCCCCTACAAAATTCACGAAAATTTCGAAAAATACTTGACTTACAATTTACTCCTTCTAGCTTGTACCTTCAATTCGGGTCGAAAAGTGAAAATACCCCATTTCATTGTAACTTACGATGGGATATTCACTCCTTGTGACTCAAGACCATGGGAGCATTACTGGTTAGCGAAATTTTGAATGAAAGCAAAAAAAAAAATCTAATGATGCAGAATTTTAGTGATATATTTGTTACTCACAAATATGACTTTAGATTTTCGATGCGACTTTGACTTTTTGGTAGACATATATGAACAAAAAATTGAAAAATGCACAAAAATGATTTTAATCGAAAATTTGAAAAGGCTTTTCATAAAAATGAGCAAAATTGTAAAAAGTCTTCGACATGATTTTAGTGACCAATTTACAGGCGTGTCAAAAGTTTTCGGGCCTGATATAGAAACACACATTGTATTTTCAAATGACTATATTTATTATTCAAAGTAGTCTCCATGAACACGAATGACACATTCATATCGATGCTTCAATGCTTTAATTCCTCCTTCAAACTACTCGGCTTCTTTTTCCTCCCGATATCTCTTCGGACTCATATTGCTTCCCCTTCAGATCTTTTGTTGTTTGGGAACAGGAAATAGTCGCTGGGGGCCAGATCTGGAGAATACAGTGGATATGGTGGAGTTGTTCGAATCCACATTCCCTGATGGCAGCTTGTGCAAGCAATGATTTGTGAGACGGTGCATTGTCATGCAAAAGAAGAACTTTTCGAGTGAGCAAACCAGGACGCTTTTCTCTGATCGCTTTACGCAATCTATACATTTGTTGTGCCTGTGACTGTGGTGTTCTTTGGAAGGAATTCAACCAATAATATGCCTTTGGCATTCCAGAATACAGAGGCCATTACTTTGTTTGTGGCAATTTGTTTGCGTGGCACTTTCGATGCTGGTTCACCACGTTTGTGCCATTCCATCGTCTGTGATTTGAGCTCTGGATCATAGTAGTGGATCCACGTTTCATCGCCAGTCACTATTCGCTCAAATGTGTCCGTTTCATTCCATTCCAACAACTCGAGAAACTCACGTGCAGCAGCAATTCGTTCTTCTTTTTAGGCTCTGTTCAAAGTTCTTGGAATCCATCGTGAGCAAACCTTTCTCATGTGCAATTTTTCATAAAGTATATTGAATACACTGACAGTTGAGATGTCAAACATTGCTGCTAACACTTTCTTGCTCATTCGAGGATTTTCGTGCACGAGATGATCAATTTTCTCCACCACATCTGAAGCAGTTACTTCAACTGGCCGACCAGTATGTGGATCATTTTCCAATGATTCTCTGCCCCACTTGAATAGCTTTGCCCATTCTTTGACCCTGGTATACGATGGAGCAAACTTACCATAAACAGTACGTAAGCGGTCATTGATATCTTTTGGTGCTATACCTTCTTTTGTGAGAAACTTAATCACCGCACGATATTCGATTTTATCCATTTTTCTAAAAATATCGAAGTTAGAAGATAGAAAACAGACGATCACTGATATCAACTCAATTTTTTTACACAATACTGTTGACAGTTCGCACTTCAATTACAGCACATGAACAATTTGTAACTAGTGCCGTCCATATGTCAGGCCCGAAAATTTTTGACACGCCTGTATGACTCCCAAAAATGTCATCATTTGAATTTGTGACACAACGTGTGTGACAGAAATGACAATTTTTCGATTTTCACACTAAAGGGGGGCCTCCGAAATTCAAAACCGGAAAAAGTGCCAGAAGCAAAGTTGATTATATTTCAGTAAAATATGATATGAGATTGGTTCGGAGCAAGTTCCTATCGAAATGACCAATCGATCCGACCTAATATACACACTACAACCTTATTCAGTTTTTATTTATTCTGTTTTTTTTCTAACCTTTTCCTCGATTTCAGTTGCTGTTCGTTTCGTAATTTCCAAGTTTTCCACCAATGCCGTGTCACCTAATATATTTTCGCCGGCTGATGATAATCGCGAGAGTAAATCATCTTCAAGGCTCTTGAGCATAATTTTGAAATCGTTTTGTTGCTTTGTTAGTTGTGCTTTCAATTCCTCTAAATCTGGACGTTCTGCTCGAACCACTTCAGCTAACAATTGGTCCTCTACAAGAAAAGTTTATATAAAGAATGGACATTTGAAAAAATCGATTTTTAAGTATTTTTAGAGTCTTTTGAAGATTCATTCCTCATAAACATTGTAAAATACCTAGTCCGTCCCGAGTTACGGTGAAATTTATGAGAGTCGTTTGAGCTTGCATTTCGGGTTTGTAATGGGGGTTTGCTAGTTTGGTATGTAATATTAAACGAAAAGTGATATTATATTCAACCTCTTTATCACCCAGTTTAATAGCCCTAAGGATTGAAACAAGAATGGTTTCAAGGCACATAGTATACAATTTTTCTAGGGCTTACCTCCCCTTCTTAATAAGATTTCTACCCAATAAAGAGTCTAAAACAGGATCCAAGGTTTCAGTAATATTCTCAATTAATACAGTTTCACCTGTAATGTATGTATTTATTTTCAGTATAAATTTAATTTACTTTTATTGTGATTTGATACCATGTATTAATGCCTGTTCAATCGTCTCTAAATAACCTTTTTGCCCAATTCGAATAATTCGCAATTCTTCGCCATATTTTTGCTTTATCCATTTCACACCTATTGGACAAAACGAACTTCGTTTAGTAAAGCGCAATAATAATCAGTTCGAACAAACCTTGAAGTTGTGGATCTGCCAAGAAGATTTGTAAATTTTATTATATATTCCGCCATCCACATAATCATATGGATTCAAAGAAAAAAATAAAAATTAGTTATCAAAAATACTTCATTAATTTGATGGCTTTTTATATAATTGCTCGACGACCAATTTTCAATGACGTCTGGTGAGTATATTTGTTTTCACAAAATCCTTATATAATATATATTGATCTAATTATCAACATTTCAAACCTTGATATTTTTGTACCTTCCAACATTTGAGTACCTTCATTAGGGTGGGAAAATTTTTTTAACGTGCCGATATATCTATTGAATATATCGAGAAGAGAGTATGTTATTCAGCGCAAATGGCTGAGTAATGTCTGAATAAAAACATACTCTCCTCTCGATATTTTCAATAGATATGAGAACTTAATTTCCATACAAAACTTGTTTTTTCTGGGATTTGAAAAAAAAGATGATATTGGCGATCTGAAATCTTATATCCCTGCCTTATCTTCAATTCAATTGATATTACAAAGTGAATTGCATTTATACGCGAGAATGAGAAAAATTGATCAGTATTTTTTCCACTAATAGATCTTTTGGCTAGATGTGAATCCTATGGAGTAGGTGGACCAAAACCTGGTCAAAAGTGTTCTAGGAGTCGAGCATATAGGGGATGCCTGGATTTTTTTTTTCATTCTTGCGATTTTCCCATCAGAAAAGCGAGAAAAATCGATTGGTATTTTTTTTTGTGATTTTACCAAGCTTTTTTTGTGATCTACAAAAAATGGCAACCTTATTCAGCTGTAATTCGCGTGACTCATGTTGATTACATCGTGCCGCGGAAAAAAAGAATTCGTTGTTTTTATTTGAACGTTGAAATACAAATACAAGACTCATTGAAATTCTTCAACTTAAGTCTCATTCAATTCATCCGATTTTTCTGTAGAACCAAAAAGTCAGTGTCAAAATAATGAACAACAAACACATCTGCAGTGAAAAAATTGCACCGACACTTGTTTTGGTGGTCAATTTTTGATATGCAACCAATGCAAATCAAAAATATATTTTGAGTGCATGACAACACAATATGCAACAAAATTATTGAAAGCATTTGACCTCATAAAATATGACGAGGATAAAAAAACTAGTTTTGACCGGTGAAGATAAATGTATACAAATAACATTACATACATTGTTTGATAGCCTATCACCATTCACATACACATGTAATGCATGCATTGATGGAGAAAATGAGCGGGAGACCAACGAAAAATCAAAATTAGTGAAACTCGTTGGTGAGAAAATTATTGATGTTGTTCAGAACGAACTGAAATCAATAATTGAATTCAATAAATTTGGTAATGACACACAAAATGTCATAACAATTGATTCTCTAAGTCAATCGAACGATGATGTTCAAGCCGGCTATGATTCGAATGCGACTGATGAAACCGTCAAAGAAAAATCGAGTGATGAAAATGGAGCAAAAAATTAAAAGAAGAAGAAGAAGAAGAAAAAGAAGAAGGAGAAAAAAGAACAAAACAACACAAACACAGGCACAAACAAACAGCATGAAAAAAGACAAGGACAGCAACAACAACAACAACATCAGAGTGACCATGTACAGGGTGGTCAGTCAAATGTGCATCGACAACAGGGTGGTACGCAAACATCAAGCCATGGAATGGGATATCTTCGGGTACAACGACAACCATTTTATGGCGAATTTGGATCGAGCAGTCGTTGGGATAATCGTCCACAATTTCATCAAAATTTGGTCAATAGGTCTTTCCAAAGACTGAATTATGTGGACAACTGATGAAGAAATGCACAACACTTTGATAATTGCTGCTGCCAAAAATGTTTCGACGATTATGAGAGAAGATATGAGGATTTTCAACAGGCTCGTCTCTCACATCGGCCGCCGGCTCAGCGTTGGCAACGGTGGCGAAACCAATAAATCTCAGCACAAGCTTATCTTCGCATGAAAAATACTCTACGCAGATAAACATCCATTCACAAAATGTGAATGGGTTAAGAACAAAAATATCGGAGTTTGCATCTGAGATAATGGTTCAACAATCGTCGATTTACATGCTACGCGAAACTCATTTGAGTGATTCAATCAATTCTGTTGACGTTTTTCCACCAATGTACGAGGTCTATAGATGTGATCGTTCATCGCTCACAGAAAAGGACTAAATACATCAAGAGGTGCACGGAGGTGGAGTTTTGGTTGCAGTCAACAACAAACTAAAGTCAGTTTGCATCGGAACGGGTGACCATTTCGG